ACATCATACACCACAGTACGCTCATTGAAGTATATTGAGAGAGTTATGATGTTTTTTAGACAGTGACCCAAAGTAAAGTAAGGCAGTAGGCCTGTTTTTTTTTTAATAGTGATTTATAATTACTTTGGAAATCTCTGTGCATTTTATTTAGGCTCTGAAATGTTGCTAGTGTATGGTAGGCTACATATGTATAGGCCTAGGCTGCACTGTGAGTGTTAAGCCTCAACCGGGCCCGGAGCAGGAAGGGATTTGTTATGCCTCGACTACTGTATGTACCTCTGTAGTCAAGTACTCTAGGTAATGAAGTAGAAAATAACCCTTAACGGTACTGATTGCTCAACCAAACTTGTGAAACAAGCTGGTGATAATAGGCCTGGTTGGTATGGTACATCCTAATGCCAATACGTAAATATGTCATATGATACCATTATCCTCGGCAGTAACTACAAACATCCTATGATTTACTTTTGGATTTAAAAACTGTAAATTAATACTCTTGCAACGAATGGGGAGATTCGTTTTTTTTTTTTTCATGCTGCGATAGCATTTGCCATGAATAACATTCCTGACTTAGGCCTAGGCCTAAAAAGTACCTCAGCCGGCAACGACTCACTGGAGCAATATGCACGTCGTGAAGGTACCGTACCTTTCCTTGAAAAAATTCCAGGTTTTATTCCCACTATCCATTGGAGTCTTACCAAGCCAAACTGATAAGTGTTTGAAAACTTAATATTGCAAAATTTAAAATAACACTTCTAAGTGATTTACCAAATTATAACTCGCATTCCAACCAACATTTTACATCAACAACAATGCAAAGCCATATTCAATGCACTGTCGTCTCGCGATCTCGATTAATATAAACAAACCCTATTACCCACTATAAGTCACGTGACCCGAGCCGCCGATTCGGTCTATTCACTTAATATAAATTTAATGTGTACATCATGAAACTAAAGACCTATTTTGGTATCATTATAGTTCAGTATAGGGCCTCTGCGGTACTTACAAACTTATCGTCTTCTTGACACTGTTTATACAGAAATCTTCTATTAATATTTTAGATCCTACAGTACTACATAACAATGCTACAGGTAGGACACAGTACACCATACAATAGTTTTCCTTCATGAAGATTTTAAGTAAAAAATACCAATTATATTTTTTAATTGTAAGAAAATCATGAATGTTTCTTCTTAACATTATGCATATGTACAGTGAAATAGTTAAAAATGCTTTGTAATCTCTGCTTTCCGTTTCATTATCTCAACTCTTCTAAATAATACTCAATTTTTTTTGTCAATATGTTATTGATATAAGTGGAACCGTAAGGGTTTGTGTGGGGTATGGATAATCTGATGAATAGTCACTAGATTGAATTGATGTTCGATATTCATTAAATCTGAGGACATGATAGATATTCTTCCTTTAGGTACAGGTAAAGATTAACTTCAATCGATAATTGTAAAGAAAATCATTCAATCCAATTCAAACCTTTGCATATTCACTGCACTTTCAGTTTCAATAGACAACTAAATTGTTTTGTGTTTACATTCAATTTCGTGTCAATTGCTGTAGACAGAGTAGACACAGTATGGCAGCTTTGAATAAATGTCACCAAACATGTAAGCTCTACTATCATACAGGTTTGTGTTTTATGAACTGTATTAAATTTGAATAAATACTCTGGGGCTTTATTGCTACTAAGGATTTTTGAGGGGGTGTTTATTCGAGCGAGGCATCTATTCCAAATGAGGCTCTGGATGGGGTGTTTTTTTTTAGGGAGCGAGTTTATTCAAAGCGGACGTTTATGCAAATAAATACGGTATTTCAGTCCATCACATGTAAAACGCAGGAGAGCACTAAATTGCTCTCCTCGGATTAATAAGGAGAGCGATTGCTCTCCTTGAAAATTTCACAGCTTTGAATAGACGCCCCCCCTCCCCCATGGGTGGAGTCAGGTGTCCTAAGTGTTTTCTAGATGCCCGGAAATAACTTCTGAGGCATTTTATAGACGATCAATAATCGAGGGGGGGGGGAGGGAGAGAACCAGCCTGCCACTCCCCACAAATCATCCCCTGCCTCCCTCTCAAATAAACTCCCCTCCAGAGCCTCATTTAGAATAAACCCCTTTAGAAGTAACGCCCGGAGGACGCGGAATATAGCTTTTTTTTGGCATCACATGTTTATAATCACACCTATTTTAAGCTCCAAACTGTTTTCAAAATGTTAATAAGTTTTTAACTATTTTGAAACATTGACATTATTTACAAACATTAATATAAAGAAATTCAACTTTATCAGCCGATATTAAACAACAAACAACTGGAAATACTTGTATTCTCCAGGAAAACTCTCATCTAAACAACGTTACTGTACCTTTTCTTTCACGTAGACGTATGTATATTTTCTGCATTAAATTTCCGACCGTGTGGGTTGCAACAATAAATTTAGTTAAAGATTATTCAAATTTAAATATTAATTTAATATAATAGAATATAGTGAGCATATTTATTTATCTATTATTCAATCAATAATAAAAGCCGATATTGACTTCAAAATATTCTAGGCCTAACTAGCCACTATACTACTCACGACCTACTATAAAACTGCAAGAAGTCCGACTGCCAGGAATTCATTGGAATGCAAAAAGTACTTCCACGAAGGGGCGTGGCCTTTAAAAGATTCAAGCAACTCGAAGAGTTTCTAAATTATGTGTAGGGTGTCCCCTATTTTGTAGCAGTACTTTGAGCATTCCATTGCCTGCATACCTTGCTGCATACAAAATCAGAGCAGTCGCACCTCTTGCAGTTTTATACTCTTTGTTACTACTCTAGCAAATCATGTTATTGTTTTTAGCGAACCAGGTTCGAACTTCAAACACGTTCAATATGTTTCAAACATTATTTATGAATGAACGTCATATGAAAATATTTATTTAAATAACCCAAACCAATGCTTGAATGTCGTAGGAATCCTTGTCACACTGTAGTGAGTATAATTACAATATAGGCCAGCAAACCTAGGCTAATTAATTGGGGTAGGCTGGGCCTAACCCAGACGATTTTCGCCTCCGCGGTTCGCAATCTAGAATTTTTTAGGAGTACACTGCAGGTTGATGACCAGTGTATAGGCTGCACCCTGAATTTCATAGTGGAAATCGCATATAAAATTTGCAGTTTTATAGACCGGAATGTATTGTACTGTAGCTTTAGTTGCAAAATTTGATTCAATTCAATTCAATTCAAATTTATTTGAGCATAATTCAACAATTACAAATAACAAAACAATGAACAATAAAAAGATAATTTAGTAAAACATTTACAGCTCAGGATAACCCAAAAAAACCGAATCGGTTTATTTCCGTTGGGGTCCCTTAAATGAAAACAAATACATAAAAGTTGGTTAAAAACTAAAACAAACATTGAAAATTTATAACAACCTTTAAAATTTCTAATAAAAGTAAAACTAATAAAAGAAATAAAACCCATAAAACCTTAAAAGTATGTAAAAGTGGATGTGAAAAAACAGGTAAAAAACAAACATTAAAATTTATTTTAAAAACCTTTAAAACTCCTTATCATAAAGTAAATCTAATAAAAACAATAAAAACTCTCGTTAAACCTTAAAAGACGTAAAAGTGTAAGTAAAAAAGCAGGTAAATGCGGTATGAATAAGATTTCACAAAAAAATTATGTTTATGTTTAAAGCATATTTATATGTTAAAACCGTTTACTGATTGTTTGTCATTTTTGATTTTTGATATTTTGATTATAGACAATGTTTCAAAATACAATTTTTGTCATTTGTATTAGTTGCCTGGTAAATCAAGGAGTGCGGTTAGTGGCTCTCCTGAAAGCGTGTTCAGGAGCCAAGCTACATTTTCTTAGTCTTATCTCACCTCAACATATAAACGATACAAACACTCATAAATTATTAATTACAGTACTGTATACAATTTTTTATCCCCACTCCCAGTGGTTTATCCAGGATTTTGACAAGGGGAGTGCTGAATAGAATATTATATCCACTGAACGTTATGCAGAATGCACAATTAGGGATGAGACATACTGTATCAATGGCTAGGACTACACCATAAACTGGTTTAAATTTACACCTAAATTAACTTACTTTGTCATTTATTTCCATTAATTTACTATTATTTGTTCATGCCTGAGCAAAAAGTAGGGTGCTCAGACACCATGGAAGCCCCCCTCCACCCCACTTCCCGGTTACGCTACTGTAATAAGAACAATAAGGAGACACTATATACAGTATGACAGGTACCAAATGGGGAGTGATACTTCAGGAACATTCTGCTTTTATATATTTCCTGAATACTGTTGACTGCAAATTATTTGCATGTCAATCAGTAATAACGACTGAAATATGGAGAATAATAATGGGGTTATCCACCTCTACGATATTACAAAATAAGCTCAGTATTGTAATAACATATGTAAGGTCAAACTTCAAATTTATATTGAAACTACAGAATTAGATTCTGTATTGCATAGAATAATTAATCATTTTTTGCATTAAAATATTTTTCTGCCATTTCAGAATGTACAATACTGATGATACCAACACTGATACCAATATTATAAATGATTAGTTTATCACCCTTGCCAGCATGTCTTCTATGGCATTGAAAAGGAAAAAAAAAACATTCATTCGTTCTTTCATTTTTTTAGTAAATAGTATATATTGTTTGTGTTATCTCAATCCTGTATTTTACTTTGAATATCAATGCACCAGCAAACAACTCAAAAGTAAAAGTAAAAATCCACCCTCCCTTATCACTTTTCCAGCTTCAAAACCGTTATACTAATATTTTTATTGGGCCTAACATGGTAGAGATGAGTTTAACACTGTAGTGTGAGAAAAAGATTATAAAATGCATAGTCCTTGGCAAGAAACCACAAAGGACTATACCATTCATATGTAAGGCAAAATTGTTAATAATTTCTTATTTCTTGTGTTATAAATATTTCACTTACCATTTCAATTTATCGTTTGCCCCTGATGAAAACGTTGAGCTCTTGAGTACTTCACCCATTTCTTCTCGACAGAAACTGAAGTTATTTATGGCCCACATGTAGGAAAACTTCACCACTTTCACCTGAAAAAGATTCAAATTTTCAAACATGAAATAATGACATATCATCTCTTAATATAAAATATGTTTTTAATTTATGCTACTGTACAGTACTAAGTCCACAGCCAGGAGGTTTAAGATTTAAAAATAAAAATAAATGGAAAAGTGATATGATCTACTGTATATTGTTTCCATGAAATATAAATAATTGCTTGTTACAGATGTATTATATCGTACTTTGTCAACCAATTTAGAAATGCAATTATATGAAAAAATGGTTATTGCTAAAGCATCTGAACCTGCCTATCATATAACATGCAGCACCTCAGCTTGCCTTGCCCTGCCTAAAGTGGAAGTAGTTAACACAGCATTTGAGATTCGGGCACGAAAGGTGCAAATTTCCACTGTGAATTTATATTGTGGTATTGGACAAGTGTGTACTTGCGGAGATTTAAACACCTGTATGCACTGTCGACTGCTGCAATAATTTTGTATGTTCCATAGGAGTTTGTTCAAATGGCTGCGGTAGTAGTAATAATAAAAGTAGATCCAGTACCAGCTAGCATATCACTGAATGTGAGAATACTATTGAATTGCACAATAGAAAGCGCCATGAGCATGCCTCTTGTGGTGGATACCTGCGCTATACGAATTGCCATTTATTATTTTTATTATTCACTTGAGATCTACCTGTCTACCGATCATGTACTTAGTAATGATGATGAGAATGCTGGTAAAATCCATCTGAATCTACCCAAGCTGCACCTCTTTTTATTAATTAATGATACCTGTCAGTGCCACACACCTGCCTATCAATACAGGAAGTTATTACAGTTATCTGAAATTTGCTTAGTAGAATTTTAAGCCCCTTTTTGCAGATCACAGTAAACATGATAATATTAAAGTGCAGTGTAACAATAGATGAGCCACATCCTGATGTATTTTGTACTATTAATGTTTCCTAATCGCTTTCACAGGTATTAAGTGCAATTGTGTGAATGTACAATTTTCGTTTGAAATTAATAGAAAGTACAATATAGAGTACTGTACTTAAGTAGTGCTTTTCTACAGTAGCCTTTACCAAAAAAAAAAAAAAAAAAAACAGGGTCTGGGCTTTTGATCGTAGAGGTATTAACCTAGTTTTTTTCTGAATTAAACAGTTTAACTTGAAAATCATGGATCAATATACTTGCCATTTTCGAAATGATAATCGTTTAAATAAGTAATATATTAATAGATCTGAAAACCCATTCTAAATTTATTTCTAAAGAGAAGCTACAAAATACATCTATTTTTATACTTGAATGTTTTATGTATTATTGCACTGTATGTGCTGCCAGGAGAGAATTGAGACAGTAACTTTGCGTTGCTTTTGGGCAATCCAGCCAGTGAGCCATACATTTCTTTTTGTTTTTACTGGTGAAATAAATGATAATAAGTGGTAGATACATAAGAACATTAAAGAGAGAAAAAATTAATTTAATAACACTTTTTAGAAAAATTAATATTAAAAAAAATTGATTTAGTGGAATAATTTTGTGCTATCTGCCTTTGAAGTGAATTTTTGTTTTGTTTGTAGGTCATTCCAACTTCGATAAAATACAAATAAAAATTAAAAGTAAATAATTAAATAAATAAAAACTGTATTAATTTGTGAAATTGCTTTTGTAAAAACAGAGTACTATACTTTGTGAAATTGTGCTAATTTAAATTAGGAATGGTGGTTTTATTAGTGAATGCTTTGTACTTTTAATGTATTTTAGTTAAATTATATGTTTTAAATTATGTCATGTTATGTGCTATATAAGAAATGCATTTTTATTATTATTCGGCCATCCCATGGCAAACAATGCAACTGCTTTTATATGTTTAAGTTACGTAGTTCTGCCATGGAATGGCCTTATTATTATTATTATTATTTGATAAATGATAAAGCGGTAAGATAATTTACCTTCAAGACAAATATCCTAAGGACATACAAGTACAATGATCACTGATGTTTGGCTATGTATACAATGTAATGCAAATTGTTATTATCTTAGTAGAAGGGATAGTTGACGATGCCATATTATTATAAATTAGGGCATATTGAACACCGCTAACCTAAACCTGCAGCAAAGAGAAAACAAAATTCAGTAATTCATCATTCAATACCGAACTGGTTTCAAAAGGGTTCGCCCACTTGGATTTTCAACTTTCAAAAAACTATTCTTCTAGTACGTACTGAAATTCATAATAAATTATTAAGTGGTTTAGATGGACCATTTATATGGGTTTTCTTTGCTGTAATTTGTCATTCTCACAATAATAATCAAAAAACTAATCAATTTCATTATTCATCATTATCATTGGTCTTTACAGTAGTTACTATTTTTTGTGTGTGATGTAATTATCGAGTGGTTTGGATTATTATTATTATTATTATTATTATTATTATTATTATTATTATTATTAATGTGATTTACAAGGTTTGTGCAATGCAATTAGCAATTCTGAAAAATCACATTTTTTTCTAAAAAAAAAAACTCTGTACAATGATAGAAATGTTTGTATTCTGTTTTGGGTTAAGCTAGGTTTGCTTTGGGTAGTTTTAAAGTGTACCTGTATCAAACTACCTCTACTGAATCATAACGACAAGGACCCTAACTGGGCCTCTGCCCCAGGAACTAGCAAGGGGCCTCAGGCAGCCCTCTGGCCCCAGTCTGATTGCGTCAATACAAGCACTTCCATCCCTCTTAAAAACATAGGAATCTTCACAAATAATCTAGTCCTAAGTTCAACGCTATCCCGAAGCATCTACTTAAAACTGTCCATCTCAATCTGGTATCATTAGTCAGGAGCTGTCAAAAACAGGCAAATGAACATGAAGCCAACAGTACTTTGAGAGACAGTTCTGTGATATAAACTGATTTATTTGTAATACTTTCTGAAGTGCAATTTTCTTGTAGTGCAGTCACCTTTATGTCACAGTCTTTGTACTTGATACAGTATTTCATGGAAACAAATTCAATTCCATTGTACATAATAATTTAGGTGGCGCTTTAATTATAACGTTCCCTCCACCCAACAAAATCATTTTCCAAAAAAATTAAAATTTGGCCTGATAGTGCATCCATTTCCATAAAAATGAGAATTTTGCCCTTTGTTTTCATTGTTACCATGTCCGTGGACACCTTAAAATAATACGTTAAAACACAAAACAACTGAAATCCTCAAAAAGATTGTTGTAGGCTGTATAGTACTACTAGTCCTGTATTATATTACGAATCTACAGTAGGCCTAGCAAATGATACTAATGTTTCGTTGGACTACGTACTGTAATCCATTAATACAGAAATCTGTACTCACAATATTTTGTTTGGTAAAAAAGGGTGCATGCCATTAAGTAAGGGTGCATGCCAGTAAGCCAATGTTAACACAATTCTGTCCCGTCTGTCTTAAAAAGCAAATTGTACTTCAATTTTATATTTTATTCTCCACCGATAGTACAGTAAGAGATTTTAGCAAAATTTTATCTTGTCTTACAGTACTTTAATTAAGAACTGTGAAAATGATGTACTGTGATGATGATGACATGATGATAAAAATGATGACAGTGGTTATAATGATTTATTTTATTTATTTTTTATTTATTCTTTCTTTATACTGAATATGCACTTTCAATACATAGTACTGATTTCCAAAGTGGTTCAGTTCTTATCTACAAAAACATTTTAAAAGCAGAAAATAACAAAGAGAGCAAAAACTTAACTACAAATTTAAA